AATTCCCTTCACAGACGGCAGGCCTGGGATGGTAACATTTGTCCTGTAATAAGGGAAGCAATGAACTTTCCTAAAAAGGTAAGTGACCTAGGGGCGCCTGGGTGGCTCAGAGCGTCCAACTCCTGATTTTGGCTTGGGTTGTGATCCTGGGGTTGTGGGATCGAGCCCCAGGTCGGGCTCTGTGCTCAAAGTGGAGTCTGCTTGAGATTTTCTCTCTCTCTCTCTCTCTCTAATGAATAAAACTTAAAAAAAAAAAAAAGGTAAGCGACCTGGCTGAGGGGCCCAGGAGTGGGTGTTTATACCAAGGGTCTCCAGTGGAGTCCCTGGGTAAAGCTGAGAGCTTCTAGCAAGTACACGTGTTTTTTCCCAGGAGACATATAGAGGAAGCAGACAGGGAGGAACTGAGATTTCCCAGGACAGACCTTTGGTGTGAGAAACATCACCACTCCCTGGGATTCCCTGGGTGGGGAAGCACAAAGGAAGAGCCCACCTGCCCTGTAATCCTGGGGCTCAGGACTATTCAGTTCACTGTGCTTCCAAAAGCTCAAGAAAGGGGAATACATCCACTTCTCAAAGGCACATGACATACACACATTTTTTTAAAATTCACAAGCGGCAAACTGTGAGGCAAAAGCCCATCAACTTACACGTAGAATCCTTGAGAATTATCGATAACGTCATAAATCATCTGCGATTTGATGGTGCTGAGCTTCTCCATGGTTGCTGCACCGCCATTGTTCTTAATCCACTCCAGGACCAAGCCCATGACATAGATGCTGAAATAAAGATTAAAAATCCATCTAGTTCTGCTTTGCAAAAGGGCAACGGCATTCAGAAAAAAGGTTTAATTAGACTCCTCTCTGGAGCTCACACCGGTCCCCACCTGTCCAGCCCCAGCCCTAATGCAAACTCTCCACAACACCTGGAACATGCTTACCTCTTTCATTGCAGCAAGGGTCCTCTGGACCCTGGCTCCCCATCCCCACCCGGTTAACCCCTTTACTTCCTACACTCCCAGAGCCCTCTGCCTGTCCTTCCCATAGTTTGTACCATTCACACCCTTACTTTCTATTTCTCTGTGCCCACGATGTGGACTCTGTGGTTGCGGAAGACCTGAAGCACAGTGTTCTACCCCCCGAGCCCTCACATGGGGCCCTCTACTACCTGGCAGGAGGCAGTGTGGCCTGGCGCTAGGAGCACGGGCACCAAGTCCGTCCTGACTCTGGTCTCACGGCTGCTATCACTAACTAAGAGCACCCAGGATTAGTCACCTTGGGAATCCAAACCTCGGCTTTCCCACCTGGAAAGAGGGAGGCCTACCACCCTATGGCGGACACGGGGCATTTTAGCTGCCCTGATCCCCCTAACCCCACTCCCACCCAACAGGCAGATCCAGCTGGGTCCCTTGTCCCCTGGTCTCACAGCTGGGCCGGGGCCCTAACTGGGCCAGAGTCCTCCCTGGGACTCTCTGACTTGGGAGGGAGGACAAAGAGGCAGACCTGTGTGTTCGTGACAGTGTGAGACATGAGTAAGAACATCCGAGGGAGGCTCATCTGAGAAAATGAAGCCAATATTCCAGCAGAAAGAAGCAAGGATCAGAAACAGAGAGGAGATGGGGGGGCATCTGGGTCCCTGGTTCCAGAAGCCGCAGCCCCTCGGCTGCTCATGGAGCTTGGGAGGGTTCCTTTCTGAGCCAGAATGTCACCTCTGCCACCTGTAAGAGCCTGGGGCTCGAGAAGACTATAGGAGACAGACTAGGTGACAGGTTGGGTGAAGTGCTTAGTGCAGGGTCCAGCACGTGGCAGGGAGGTCACACAAGTGTAATTAGTGGCATCTTCGTTACCAAGTGCTCAAAACTAACCCAAACACGCAGTGTTGCAGAGCAGTGGGTGGTTTCCCAGAGGTCTTCTGAAAGCCCATCTCTTAAAAAGATGCCCAGGGGTCCGTGTGCCCCTCACTGAAAGCTTGTGGGGGCAAAAGCACAGGCCTCCAAGGGAAGAGACTCCATTCTCTTGACCTGGGAATCTGAAGATCAGCTCTCAGCTAGGCACTCTCCGGGGGGGGAGGGACAAAGGCCCCCTACGGGAATCTGTGCAAACTGGGCTGCCAGGAGTCAATACCCAGCGAATATCCAGCATGGTAACCCCTGGACAAGAGCTACCTTGTTTATTAACACCAAGGGTCTCTTTCCACCGTGACAGGTTGAAGCAGATCACTGGATCTGGAAAAACTCTAATAGCCAGAAGCTGGTGCCAGGAGAAGCCCAAGGCTCTGACTGGTTCATTCACTGTCACAACCTGGTAGGTAGGGGACCCAGGGGTTTCCAACCCCAGAAGTTAGCCGAAGTCAATGCCAGGCTGTCCAGTAGGCAATGGGCACCCAAAGCCATGTAATAGGTTCTCCAGAAACTTCCCCAGCTTGAGGAATGAGAAATAGTAGCTAGTGGCAGAAAAGGAAGGAAGAATAGAGCATAGAACAGGCCCTGAGTAATTTACAGCCTCAGCTGTAGCTCTCTGGATCAAGACTGAGAAATCAGGGGCGCCTGGGTGGCTCAGTCGTTAAGCGTCTGCCTTCGGCTCAGGTCATGATCCTGGGATCCTGGGATCGAGCCCCGCATCGGGCTCCCTGCTCTGCGGGAAGCCTGCTTCTTCCTCCCCCGCTCCCCCTGCTTGTGTTCCCTCTCTTGCTGTCTCTCTCTCTCTGTCAAATAAATAAAAAAAGACTGAGAAATCAGAGGCACAAAGAGAAAGAAGAAAGAGGCAGGAGTATTTCCTACCATCTATTATGGGGCCAGGCATCCAGCTAACTGTTCTCCCTTTTATTGATCACAATAATCCTGAGGTCAGAGGTACCATCAGCCCATTTTACAGATGAGGCAACTGAGGTTTGGGGAGCTGAATTTGGCTAATGTCATCCATTAAATGGCTGATAAAGCCAAGATTACAACCCCAAAGTTGACTTTGGTCTGACTCCAAAGCCCAAGCTCTTTTCACAGTCACCAAGGCATCTGGTTTAGGAGGGGCTCCAGGACCCTCCACCACTACCTCCCCTGCTCGTGGGGCACCAAACCTCACAGACACAGCTGCCAAGTGCAGGGGCTACGACAGCTTCACAGCACACGCGTGTAGATGTGTGTTCCAGACAGGACGCTGCCCGCCCACCCCTCTGTTCAGTACGATGCTCTCAAATTCCCAACTAACCCCAAACTGCTCGCTCCCCCACGAACCCTGCCCCATGATCCAAGCAGAGCCACTTGATGCCCGTTCACTGACAGTACTCTTCAGAGGCCACATTTTGCTTCTACCCATAGCTCTGTGACCCTGGAGTTCCCTAAGGAGTGGAAAGCAGTGCTTTCTCACTACTCAAATCCAAGGCCGCAGCAAGGCCCAGGGCAGGTCCACAATCCCAGCCAGTCCTCAGCACCAACACACTGCCCACTCTGCGGCTGTCACGCTCAGACTCACAGCCCATGCGCCCTGCCGATCTTACTGAGATCTGAGCAGCCAATCAGCGGAAAGCCCTCTCACTCTACGCACTGCCCAGAGCCCACACCCGGAGCCTCGGCTGTGAAGCCTCAGCAAGAGGCAGGGCCCTCGCAAGGAAGCAGGTTCTCCCTGTGGCTTCTCATTCTATCCCCCATACAATCCAAACTCTTCAAAATACAGTGGCTCAGTCGTTAAGCGTCCGCCTTCGGCTCAGGTCATGGTCCCAGGGTCCTGGGATCGAGCCCCGCATCGGGCTCCCTGCTCAGCGGGAAGCCTGCTCTCCCTCTCCCACTCCCCCTGCTTGTGTTCCCTCTCTCGCTGTCTCTCTCGGTCAAATAAATAAATAAAATCTAAAAAAAAAAAAAAAAAAATACAGGGGACCTGGATGCTTATGCAGCTCTGCAACTTAGTCTCGATTCTCCCCACTAACCGATGGAACATGCCTGATTGCTGCCTTCACTTCTAAAAGGCCACCTGCATCACACAGCAAGTTTACCATCTAAAGCCGGCCTATTAATAAGTAACTAAATAAATCACAGATCCATTCTGTGGAATACCTTACAGCAATTCAAAGGGAAAAAAAAAAAAGGCAGACATTTGAGCTGACAAGGCAGAGTATAGTGTATGTGGCATATTGCCGGGGAGAAAAAAGAAATTCACAGAACAGTCTATATGGTAAAGTTCCACTTGCATAATCTATGGCTCTGTATACTTGCACATGCCCGGGACACACAGCAGTTAACACAGCAGTTAATAGTGGTTACCCCAGCAGTTTCTGCTCACTTCAGAAACCTTTGCTAAGAACACATGTTAATTTTTGGGGGCGCCTGGGTGGCTCAGTCGTTAAGCGTCTGCCTTCGGCTCAGGTCATGATCCCAGGGTCCTGGGATCGAGCCCCACATCAGACTCCCTCTTAGCCGGAAGCCTGCTTCTCCCTCTCCCACTCCCCCTGCTTGTGTTCCTGCTCTCGCTGTGTCTCTGTCAAATAAATAAAATCTTTAAAAAAAAAAAAAAAGAACACATGTTAATTTATTTTTTATTTTATTTTTTTAAGATTTTATTTATTTATTTGAGAGAGAGAGAGAGAATGAAAGAGAGAGCGAGAGCACGTGAGAGGGGGGAGGGTCAGAGGGAGAAGCAGACTCCCCGCTGAGCAGGGAGCCCGATGTGGGACTCGATCCAGGGATTCCAGGATCATGACCTGAGCCGAAGGCAGTCGCTTAACGGACTGAGCCACCCAGGCGCCCCACATGTTAATTTTTTAAAGGAATACAAAGTACTCTGTGTGCTGAGGCTTACAAAAGCAGACCAGAGGGGCGCCCGAGTGGCTCAGTCGATGAAGCGTCCAACCCTTGGTTTCAGCTCAGGTCATGATCTTGGGGATGTGAGACTGAGCCCCATGCTTCCCCTCTGCCTCTGCCCCGCCCCCACTCACACACTTCCGCAAGCGTGCACACCCTCTCTCAAATAAATAAATAAATCCTAAAAAAAAAAAGAAAGAAAGAAAGAAAAACACACTAGAAAGTCCTTGGAAAAACTCTCCCTGGCTGTTTGTTCTGAAGATTCTAACTGCAGAAGTACATCTGCCTCTGGGGTTTATGGTGAGTGAGTCTAAGGCCCTGGGCAGGCCCACAATCCTACTCTGCTGGGAAAGGTGGCCTTGAGGGATGGGGTTATTTTGTTTCTTCTTAGTTACTTCACCTCATACTACAGCAAAAACAAATTTATACTCACAGGTTCTATTAGTTGAGGTAAATAAAAACTGTTTTGTGGGGACAGAAGGGAAGCTTAGGCATCTTTTTGCCTGTTCATTCATTGGGTCCAGTGTGATCTACTAAAAGGTGAAAACAGAATAACCACGTGATCCTTTATTCCACCCCAATTCACTGCTCAGGGCTACAGGGGACTATGTGAAGGCCAGTTACCCAGCCCAGTTCACACAAAATGCCCAGAGCCTGTGGTCATTCAGCTCTGATTTTAAAAGATAAATAAATACATAAAGGCTTCTTTTCAAATGTGGGGCCTTTTCAAGGACTTCTGTGTGATACAAAAGTTCAGAAGCCTTCTGGGTGGTGCCTTGTCGGCTTACCTTCAAGGACTAAGGAGGGGATTTGGCACAAATCTTCCCCTTTCTAACTTGGAGCTTATTCTCACTGGGCAAGCTGTAATTTGCTAATCTTGACTATTTAAGTACCACGAATGAACTCTGAAGTTTTTCAAATCATAGATTTAGGGTAATTGCTCCATTGTACACACTAGTACTTTTCTTTCAGGGTAAAAGAAAGCAAAGCAATTTCCAGGGGGTGTCGTGGTCAGAACACATTTAACCCAGTCTCTTTTATCTGCTATATTTACACCATTCGACTCAATATTCACACTCCTGCCCTGGGATAGTCTCAGTTAACACTATTCTGATCTGCCTGGGGGAAAAGGTGCGCCCCTTTTTTGCCCTTGATTCTGGCTCAGCAGCGCCCCACCCCACCCCAGCAGGCAGGAAAGCTCTGGGGAGGCAATATCTGCCCTCCCCCAAGTGACCAGCTGACCCGACTGGTCAAGGCCTGGGGCTGATGCCTGCGAGGGGCAGTGCCCCCACACGAGCGTCACCGAAAGGAGCCCTTCCTCTCCGTGTGTCTAGGTCTGACTCCAGACATTATTATCTCTTGTCATTTTGTCACATTTATTAGACAGACTGGCCTGCTTTCTCACTGACTTTTCACCCTAATATTAACAAACGGCATTTTAACACATTCATTGCCTTTTGCAACTCTTAGTTACCACAGAAGGTGCCAGAAGGTGTGCCCCCTCCTGGCTCCTCTGGGCGGTGCTCTGATCTGAACTTGCCAGCTTTCAAGCCACATTTCAGGGACAATGTTCTCCGTGCCTCCTCCTGGAGCCCATGGTGGCCTCTGCCTCGCCCTGAAAGACTCACCTGACTGTGAGCTAGGCCCTGGCCCCGGGGGGGGGGGTGGATGGTGACACACACCTCCTGTCAATGTGCAGCCTGGCACCTGAGCCCCTTCCCCAGGGTCCCTGCACCTGTGGCTTCACTGCTCAGCACACCCAGGTCTCGTGTCCAACTTGGCCAGTGACCACTGGTTGTTTTACTGCCTGGAACCCCAGAGATGGGACAGGTGGGTGAGAGATCCAGTACCATGGCCCCCACCCTTAACAGGCATTTCAGAAACCCTTCCCACCAGGATGAAACAGAGTGGGCTTTATAGGTGACCAGGAGAATAAGCACCAGAACACCCCATTCCCTGAGGAAAGCAGGAGGAGACAAATGAGCTGCTATGGCCCCCATTTAGAATTCCATCAGAATTCTAACTCTGAAAAACAACACCTTTCCTTCCTATAGCAAAGCAGGTGGGAGATTTTTCTACAGGCAGCCCCCTTGGGGGAGAGCTCTGACAAAGTCCAAGCCCCGAAGGAACCGCTGCCTGCCCCAGCCCAAGCCCACCCTTCCGCCCGCCACAGAAAAATCCATGAGTGGAAGAGCTAGACTCTAACGGTGACTTATTCTCCCAAGACGGAATCCTTCAGGCACAAATAAATGCATACTGATAATACGAGCACGAAGGTACAAGGTGTGCATGCCCCAGCTCTGGAGCCAGGCTACTCGGGTTCAAATCCCAGCTATGCCACGTCCTAGAAGTATGGCCTCTGGTTCTTTGCTTGCAAAATGGGAATGAAGAGTATCTACCTCCCAGGGTGCTTAGGAGGATTAAAAGGGTCATACACATAAAGTATCACCATTCTACACCATACCTGCCCTGAAAGAGAAATCCATCAACTCCGACTCTTCCCTCCCCTGCTAGGGCTCTGGGAACTAACACCAAGAAAAACAACAATAATAATACAGCAGCTAACATTTATAAATCACCAAGTGTCAACCATGAAGTGTGCTCCATCTATATATCTCCTCACGGCAAACCAGTCGGCAGGGTATTATTACTCCTGGAGGAATTTGCTGCACAGAGAGGTTAAGTGACTTGCCCAAGGTCACACAGCCAGTAAGGCCTGGCCTTTCAAAGTCCTTTTCCAAAGCTTCACAGGTTGTTTGAGATACAAGCCTGCCACTTCATTTGCAGAGAGCTTTTGGGTTAATGGTGAACCACTAAGGCTAACGATATCAAACAAAAACACCACCCCCAAAAAGAAAGGGCAAGAGAAACTGATCTAACAGTGCACAGAAGGTTAACAAGGAGAGACGAGCTGGGCAGAGAATCCTGATAGGATGTCTGAGCTATGATGAGGTCACTGTTCATGAAAACACGCTCTGCGTTAAAAAGCTACCTCCCTCTGCTTTGATGGTAAACGGTGAGACCCCCCTCCGTCAGTCCCCCAAGCCCTGCTGCCCGGAGTTCACCTGAAGCATGGAGGCGTGTTGTACAAGGAGCTGTTTCCAGCCTGTACTTTGTATTCCAGGATCGAGGGGCACTCTTGGAGTGCGAACCCCAGCAGGTCATCGCGGATGATCACTACCGTGACCCCAGCAGAGCCCACGTTCTTCTGCGCACCAGCAAAAATCACACCAAACTGAGAAAGAGAAGACACGCTGTTGTAGATACACGTGGTCATTTTTCACACATGTAGTCCAATTTCACCATCTCCTTCCAAAGTATGAGGAGCTGATTCTATTTCAATGCTGCTCAAAGTGCATCCCATTCTCTAACGGCACCTCCATCTGGGACAGCAAATCAATCCTCCTGAAGTACAAGGCCTGCAGGTCGTGTATGCGCCTGGTCCTTCTCACCAGCAAGGGGCTAGTCCAAGCATCACTATAAAGATCTTACACGTATAAATCTTCGCTCTATATACCTCCTTCCTACACCCAAACCAGTTTTTAAAATGAGGCTGCTGGGGTGCCTGGGTGGCTCAGTCGGTTAAGCGTCTGCCTTCAGCTCAGGTCATGATCTCATGGCATTGAGTCCGCATGGGGCTCCCTGCTCAGCGGGGAGCCTGCTTCTCCCTCTGCCTCTGCCCCTGCTTGTGCATGCGCTCTCTCTCACTCAAATAAATAAATAAAATCTTAAAAAAAAATAAAAATAAAATAAAATGAGGCTGCTAACTGTTCTTGGTAACCAAAAGAAAGTTTTTAATGCATTCATGTTTATATAAAGGGCAGTCAGAAGATGCCAAGAAATAATAGACAAGCTGAGAAGAAATTTTAACAAACAGAAATTAAGCTAAAATTCCTCTAGATTAAAGGAACTTCAGAAAATGTTGTCATATAAGACGCACAGCCCTCTCCCATCTCCTCCCATGAAACCTTTCTAAAGAGCGAATTGCATCCCAAGTGCGAGGAGGAAAGACAGTCTGGCCTGCTAGGGAGTATTTCACAGTTGGCACTGTTGAGAATTGCCAATGCGTGGCAACTGGTAATAAAAAGCAGGCTATAAACAGAATGTGGTAGAACCACCCAATGGAATATTATTCAGCCTTAAAAAGGAATGAAGTCTGACACCTGCCATCGCATGGATGATCCCTGAGCACATTACTCTTAAGTGGAATGAACTTGACACAAGAAGACAAATATTGCCATTAGTCCCCTTATATGAGATAGCTGGAGTAGTCCAATGCCAGAGAATGGAGGCTCCCAGGGTCTAGGGGAGGGCTGAGGACTTACTGTTTCACGGGCAGAGTCCCAGTCTGGGAAGATAAAAAGTTCTGGAGGCGGATGGTGGTGATGTTTGCCTGACAGTGTTAATGTACTTAATGCCCCTGAAGGGTACACTCAAAAATGGCTAAAATGATTAAGTTTTATGTTATATACATTTTACCATAATTTTTTTTAAAAAAAGCAGGCTACCATTTAGTGCATTTGTTTCTAAATGCTTTACAGATATTACGCCCCCTTGCTACATGCACCTGAGTGCACTGCTCCCCTGCCTGCCTTGGCAGCCCACCTAGAAAGTCTCCGTGTCCTGTTGATGCTTTTGGAGTTGAGGTGGGCTCGAGGTAGGGTGGAGCTCCTTCAGAGATCCCCCGAGCTTGGGTCATCTGCATCCTCACCGGAAGTCAGCAAGCTATTCCCAATGTATTGGCCAAAACATTTCCTAAGAGGCACCCTCAAAGGCAGATGAATTCCCCAAGGACTCCAGTGTGACTCCGTGAGGCAATCATTAACACAGGGTGGAACACATCAAGACTTACACGCTCCAACAACCCACAATAAACAAGCAACTGTCAGCCTGGGCATTGTGAATTGTCTTGGCTTCAGGGTTTCTGCTGGCCCAAGACATTCTGGGCCTTTCCTTGTTCTCGTATTTCTTAAAATGCCCTTACGAAATCCAAGACACTGGGGTTCCCTCACCAGGCCCTTTTACACTCTACCTTGGAAACATCCACCGGCTTGGATAGGAAGTTTGAGGACATGTCGCAAACCAGCACAGCTCCCTTGACGTCAGGGATGAAGTCAAACTCCACTCCATGCACGGTCTCGTTGGCGCAATAATACACATAGGAAGCGTCCGGGCTGAGGTTCCAGGTGCTTGGATCTGGAATTTCTATCACAGAAGGTGGAGAGTCTGCGCTTTCATTCCTCTTTCCTTGTGCAGATGGGAATGACCAGGAATGCCAGCCCTCCCCTAGCCGTGAGAGGCTGATTCCAAAGTCCTCCCGAGTGACACCACCCTATCCATCTTACATTATAATGCCCATCAACAACCTAAAAGGATGATCCAACCCGTCCTTTTGACGGTTACTGGGGGCAACTAATGGTATGGTGGATATTTGGTATTTTTCCTATTACCCAGTACCCACCCATCCTATGTCCCCTGAGTTCCTTCTTGGGGCCCCAGCCTCCCCAGCTCAGCCCATGTAGTTCCGGTGTAGTCAATTCCACCTGCAGCCACATGACTGCTTGGGAATGGGACACAGGAGATGTGAGGCTGTGACTGGGAATGCTTGAGCAAAGGCGTTGAAACTTGGGAGAATATAACAAGGTCAGGAGCATCTTCTAAAAGGGAAGGGACAGCTTTCCTGTCTGTGGAGCCATCATAGAGGAGACCTGGAGAGACACCAGGACCTGCAGACATTGTTGGGGGGCCCTTGATCAAGCCATACCCAAAGCCAACCCGGCCCGTAGGCTTTTCAGCTGAGTACACCTATGAATATTCTTTCTGCAGCAGCCAGTTAGTAATCTTAACAAGTATGACCACCCACTCTAAATGGTATCAAATCAGCTACCAACAAGAAGGAATTAAAAACTGCAGGTTGCCCTGGGCAGGGGTAACCTGATATCTGAAGAGGGACCACCCACCCGGCAGCATTTGTCCACATTTCATTGTCATTGTGGAACTCAGATCCCAGCACTTACTCGTGTAACTCCCAAGTTTGGGGTGGACGATATTCACAGTCCCAAACTTCTTGGCTTCTTCTGCAGCCTTAGCTGACCAAGATCCTGTCACCACATAGTCGGCACACCTTCCTGCTTTCCAGCCAATCAGGTTTAAGGGAACAGCACTGAACTGGCCCGACCCACCTCCTTGCACAAAAATCACCTTGTAGTTGTCTGGAACGGCTCTGGGCAGAAGCGTGGGAGACAGTAAACAGAGATATACAGGGCCAAAGAAAGAGAATGAGCAATGATCTACCAGCACTTTACCTTGGGTGGATATACTATAAGAAAACCAGTAAAGTCCCACCCCCGCTTCACCTTCCCCACAGCCCTTCCTTGGGCTCTGTGTGGAAGCCTATGGGTACTGTTTGGAGGGAAGCTAATAACACCCTGCTGTTCCTGTAGGAAATCATCTTGCTACCACTCAGTCTGCACGGTTCAAGGGTGGCCAACCCTGACTCCAGCAAGAGCACATGACCCAAACTGGCCAGTGGAGTCTGGTTCTGAGACCTTTGCTCAAACTTCTGGAAAAGAGGAACGGTTTCTACTGAGGGAAAGAATAAACCAGCTAATCCTACAACCACCGGTGGCCATCTGGTGAAGCCAATACATCAAAAAGCAAAGCCAGGAGATGGAGGAAAAGACCTTCCTGGACATCACCTGAGCTCCTAAATCCCTCCTGCACTTTAGAGTTACACGAGGTAATTCGTTTTCTCTTCTGCCAAGAGTTGGGCTTCCGTCACCTGCAACCAGAAATCCTAAAAATAGACATGTGCTGCTCCATGCTATGAACCAAGGGGACACTCGTAAAGGATCTTAGATAAAGTGTTAGGCCTAAGCACGTAATCACATACCAACAGACATCGAGATTAACAGTGAAAACTTTCTGACTCCAGTGTAGAAAATTAAGATGTTTGCCGAAATGGCTATAGGCAGTAGGAGAAGGCCAGCTCCAGAGGGACTAGGCCATGGAAACTGGACCCCAGCCTTTGAGGAAGCTCAGAGCTTGGGCACAGGTACACAGAAGGCAGACGGCTGGGGACAGGGATCCAGCACGGAGCTGTTAAGTACCAAAGGGCAGGGCAACGTGAGAGGGTCCTGGGGAATGGGTGGTGTGAACCGTATCTGCCTGCGATCATGCAGGGCTTGCAGGCAACTCTCGTTAAGAGGCTCTAAACATGAGGTCTCGGCAGCTGGGAGGACTGGCAGCCCAAGGCAGGGTTCCAGGTTTATGTTATTCACATGCCAGATAGATAAGAAGGCCAACACCTGGATGGAAGGACACAAGACAGAGGCCCAGGTACAGGAGTACAAGGTAGGAACTTGGTTAGGAAAATAAAGGATAGGCCCAGAAATTGAACTGGGAGTCCAGTCCCAAGAGGCCTGCAGCCATGCAGGTCAAACGCCACGTCTTCTGGGCCGAGATTCCAAATACCTGTTCCATGAAGGACGGGCTTGTATGGTGAACACATGGGACCCAACAGGCAGACCCCATGTGCGCAGCCAAGCAAATGATGACTGGTTCCGGCCACTCACAATGCAATGGGTTCTAGTGCTCCTCACAAAAATGGCGCCAGCCTGCCCCCTTTGAAGCATTTTATCAAGACAGTTTAAAAGGAAAGTAATAGTTGGTACAATTCCAATCATGTTAGTGAAATCATGCAAACTTGGACCCTTAAAATGTTAACAATGATTACTTCTGACTGGTGGGGTTATGGATAGTTCCAGGTTAATTTGTGACATTCAGTTTTTCCTAAACTTTCTACCATGAATATGCACTAGTTTTATGAGCAGAAAACATGGGTTTTTTTTTTTTTCAAGATTACCAATTTGTTAAGGTTACGTGAATATACTTAGACAGTATATAAATCTCTCCTTTAAATAGCAATCTATTAAAGAGTAAGGTTTCCTCTGGGTAAGGAGAGTAGTGCAGATAAGCTAGGAAGGATCATTTGAGAAGTTCCTGAAGTGAAGAACTCTTAAAATTACCCAAAAAGTCTCTTAAAGATGAAGTTTCTGCAGAGATTCTGACTCAGCTGAGCTTGGTAGGGCCCTGCACCTGAATTTTTTAATACCTGCCCCCAGCTAGGTGATTCTGACGGGTGGTAGGAGGCATTGCTTTAAGAACCAGTGCACTAACCAAGATGACCATTTCTTTGTTATTTAAATCCCTTTTAAGCCTGAAAAATCTTTCCTAGATATAATGATTTCAAATCTTTGGAAACACCACATAAAATAAAAACACACAGGGGCACCTGGGTGGCTCAGTCAGTTAAGCGTCTGACTCTTGACTTCCGCTCAGGTCATGACCTCAGGGTTGTGAGACTGAGCCCCAACTGGGGCTCCGCACTGGGCATGGAGCCTGCTTAGGATCTCCCTCTCCCTCTCTAAAAAAATAAATAAATAAAAATAAAAACACAAAAGCAGGATGGGAAACAAGTAAAAACCTTTATGTACTAATGGAGTGAATTTGGGAGAAATCTTTAAAAGACTATTTTTATTTTTTTAAAAGATTTTATTTATTTATTTTACAGAGAGAGAGACAGAACAAACGGGGAGTGACAGGCAGAGGGAGAGGGAGAAGCAGGCTCCCCGATGAGCAGGGAGCCCAATGCCGGGCTCGATCCCAGGACCCCGGGATCACGACCAGAGCCGAAGGCAGTCACTCAACCGAGCCACCCGGGTGCCCTAAAAGATTATCTTTAATTATGAAATATTCTTAACACACAGCAGAGTAAATACCGTAACAGACACCCACACATGTGGTTTATCAAACAAGAGTAATGACTTCGGTCTTTAAAATTTTTAACTTACAACAATTCCCGCACAAGATTCTCTGTGTTGTTAATAATCTTGGCAAAATCTGATGACCTGTGGCTCATTTCTGTGGAAGGAAGGATAAATAAGAAAAAAAAGTTCCCATTTAAAACCAAACACACAGAAGTAACTTTAGAAGTAGCTACACAATTTGCAAATAAAATAATAAAGGGAAATTCTGGTTATTCTGCACTCAAATTGTGGGCCAAGGCTGACTTCGTTTAGGGGAAAAATCCAAACCGATTTTCAAATTGCACACATTTTAGCCTTACGGTCACAGCAGAATGATTTTTCAAGTGGCATACTCATTGAATGAGCCATTTACTAATTCATCCTTCCATCCCTGTGATTTTTCACATCCTTCTCATGAACATGAACCCATGGTGCAGACCGCCCCGTAGAAACAACAGGACAAAATTCCACTCGGCGGCTCTCACTGCGCAGAAACCCAAGTTTAGTCCCCAAACCCACAGGAACCAAATTGAAGAGCAGTGAGCACACAGTTAACTTTACGATCCCTTCACACTTCACACTATGCGGCCTCAGCCTTGGGAATTGCCAAACAAAGAAAAAGTAAATTAAAATTTAAAAAGTAAATTTTAAAAACTCAAAGGGACCCCTCCTCAACGATAAAGGAGAAACTTAATGAAATTATTAAGGTGCAAGATCTTGAGCAAAGGCTTATAGGCTTTTAAACTTTTACTCAGTTCATTTTTAAGTTCCGTAAAAGCTTTGAACCGAACGGCAGGCAAGACTGCAGAGGTCTGGAGCCCTGTGATGCACCTGTTTGGCATCTTCGGACCTCAGATGCCAGTTGAGCCCCGTGGCAGGCGCCCTGCTCAGCGGAAAGCCTGCATCTCTCTCTCTCTCTCCCTCTCTCCCTCTCTCCCTCTGCTGTTGCCCCACCCTCATGCTCTCTCTCTCAAATAAATAAATAAAATCTTTAGAAAAAAAAAACTGCTTCTATCAAACGTGCCACCAAAGTTACTAAAATTTAAAAATATATCTACAAAGGCCTAAAGGGAGACCGAGGCGCAAAATCTGGGGCTTGATGCATTTTCATCAGTTCCCTTTGGAACCTGGATATTCAGAGTCAAAAAGTAAATCTTACCAAGAACACTAATCCCAATTCCTTTGTAGTCTAATAGTTCTTTCTGTATCTCTAACAATACCTAGAAGAAATAAAAGACAATAAAATGATCTGAATATTCGGCACGGAGCTCTCCCTCTGGACATCAGACCAGCGAGGGGGGCCACCCACAGAGCCTGTGAGGTCTGGAAGCTTCTGTACCGTGGCCAATCCCCTTCCTCCCACCCAGACTACAGAGCCCTACTGATGCAACTTACACACACAATTTAAGTGTGAAATTATATAATGCGATTGATGTGAAAATACAGTTTTCCCAAAGGCATGAATTTACTTAGATATAAAAATTACAATAAAAAAACCCACCAAACCTTTGTTTTTTTTAAGAAGGAAGATAGAAAGCCCTATCAGAGAGGAATGCTAAAGTGTTTTTGTGAAATGACATGGTATCTGGGATTGGCTTTAAAATACTCCGGGGGCGCCTGGGTGGCTCAGTCGGCTAAGCGTCTGCCTTCGGCTCAGGTCATGGTCCCAGGGTCCTGGGATCGAGTCCTGCATCGGGCTCCCTGCTCAGCGGGGAGCCTGCTTCTCCCTCTGCTTCTCTCTCTCTCTTTCTCTGTCTCTCATGAATGGATAAATAAAATCTTTTTTTTTTTTTTAAAGATTTTATTTGTTAGAGAGAGAGAGCATGGGCAAGAGAGGGAATGAGCAAGGGTACAAGCAGGGGGAGCTGCAGGCAGAGGGAAAAAAAACACATTTTAACAATAAAGAATTAGACAAAAGATTTCCCTGGCAAGAGGTGGGGGTTAAGAATTTGTCTTGTTGGGCACCTGGGTGGCTCAGTTGGTTGGGCGACTGCCTTCGGCTCAGGTCATGATCCTGGAGTCCCGGGATCGAGTCCCACATCGGGCTCCCTGCTCAGCGGGGAGTCTGCTTCTCCCTCTGACTCTCTTCCCTCTCGTGCTCTCTATTTCTCATTCTCTCTCTCTCTCAAGTAAATAAATAAAAAATCTTTAAAAAAAAAAAAAGAATTTGTCTTGTTGGGGCACCTGGATGGCTCAGTCCGTGGAGTGTGTGACTCTTGATCTTGGGGTAGTGAGTTCAAGCCGGGTAGAGATTACTTAAAAAAATAAATAAATAAAAGCCAGCATTTAAAAAAAAAGTATTGGTCACTGGTTTTGCAAACTATGGGATGATTATTAGCACTGGCTGATTAAAAACACACTTAATGAATCCTTTCTTTAGTGAACACAAACATAATAAAATCATCTTTGAACTTCCGTTTAAGATGGGATTTCTCTTACAGACAGTATCCCCTGAAATGCGTTTATGATCCAAATCATTACAAAGAGATTTAAAGACTTCTACTCAAAAAGCATGCCCCTCTACTCCAGTGGAGTTTTCTTCAAACTGCAGAATGCAATCACTCTTGTGGGTCACAACACATTTTTTAAATGAAACAGAACAGAATAGAGTACAAAAGTATGTATGTCATAGTTGTTTAGGCTAAATACTTCACAAGGCTTTAATTATAATTATATGCATATACTTTGTCATTTTGTAAAATATATTTTTCATTGTGGTCACAGTCAACAATAAAGTTTAAAAAGCTTCTCTAATCCTTACAATAAAATCAAATCGAAGTTCATAAAAAGCAACATCTGCCACTTCCTCCCACCCCCATCCCCCTCAGAGAAGGCGTCTGAGGACAGAAATCCTCCCAAGAAAATAACAAATAATTGTATTACTAATGATAACTGCCATTATAATAAATGCATAAGAAATTGCACTGGGAGGGGCACGTGGCTGGCTCAGCTGAGATTCTTGATCTCGGGGTCCTGAGTTCCAGCCCCACAGGGGAGAGAGTATTTAAAAAAGGGGAAAAAAAGAAAGAAAGAAAGAAAAAGAAATTGCACAGGAAACAAATACTTAGAAGGCTCCAAACCACGGAGACGGGACAGAGGTGAGGAGGGTACAAGAAACATTTGCACAGCTCTAAGCAGGGAAGGAATCTTGCCTAAAACAGACTGCAATTAAGTGGGGAAAACCAAGCCTTGTTCTTTCGGCTACTATGAGCCCTGCCCCTAGGGAAGCACGAAGTCCTTTCCCTTCTAAAATTATAAGATTCTCTTGTTCTTACAACACAGAGGAGGCTTTATCCCAGGGAGATTTCTACTCTGTTCAACAATAGATAATTGTAAAGCACTTGGCTAGGCCCCATGTTGCTACAACATAGTATCAGAGTCATTGTGGTTAGAAAAATAAAAATATAACAGCAGTGATAGCAGCTTGTCTGTCAATCAAGGCTCATCGCAAACTGCCTTCTTCACAGCTGCGGAGCGGGGGTTGAGATGATGTGGGAAGGAGAATGGACGTTGGGGGGAGGAGCTGAAATCTGGCTTGGGGCCTAGGAAGGCAGGGAGTGAGTTCCACTTGCACTTGAAAAGTCTGGTTGTGGCCCCAGGGAGAATTCAATCATTCCATTTCCTCCAAAACAAAGTGAAGCGAACTGGGCTGGCAGCCCACTGCCTACCAGAATTTGAATACTCGCATGCCTTTAGGAGTCAAGCCAATTAAAATTAAAAAAAAAAAAAAATCTACGCGTGAAACCGAGCTGAAAAAAGCGGGGGAAGGGAAGGTTCTCTTGGGAAACAAGGAACGAAAGCCAGGACTGAAGGCCTTCAAATTTACATTTCTGAAAAGCAATGTTCCCAAGTGCTGGCTAAAACAAACACTCTTTAGGAGGGTTCAGGCGCGGGACTCCAGTTTGCAATCCCCTCCAGTTTAATGAGAACCCCATTCACCATTCATTCAGTGTCCATTCACGGATCCACTCAACACTGCCTAGCTCGCAGCAATGCCCGGCAAGGCGAACCCAGAGATGAGAGCTTTTCGCCGCGCCCCGGGCCCAGCCCAGGCACAGAGTCTGCAGGTGCGCTGCGCCGGCGAGCCAAGTCGTGCAAGCCTCTCACGGGCAGTCGGCGCCAGGGGCAGCTGCACAAGCATGTTGGCGAGCTTCCTTCCCCCAAGTGCATTCTCCCAGGAGCCCACTAGCGAAGGATCCCGAACTGGGCGTGCACGCTGGTGCGGAGCGTTCGGGAGGGCTCCCGGGCAGGGAAAGGGGATCCCAGCGCCCGGCGCAGAGATGCACAGCCACCCGCGCGCGGGCTCCCGCTAGGACCGCACTCCCGGCGCGCGCTCGTGGGGACTTACCGAGCGCGGCAACTTGGCAGGCCCGGGCCCGAAGTTGACCACCTGCCTCGGGGCGCTCATGGTGCAGCAGCGCAGGCGACGGGGACAACGGAGAGAGTCGTGCGCGGCGCGAGTCGGCTGCCGGCGCAGACCATCTGCCTTCTTCAGCGCCCAGCCGGCGCCACCATTGGCCCGCGCTGTCGCAGGCCCTGCGCTAATTGGTTCGCGCTACGGGGCTCGCATCCCCATTGGTCGTGCTCAATAGCCAATGCCCAGGAGCAGTTGCTCCTCCTCTCGTTTACTGTTTCAACTCTCTTTTCTGATCAATGCAAGGCGCGCGGGAGATTGCACCAGCCACCGCGCTCTGCAGAGTGCCCGCCCTAGGATCGTGGGCGGTGGGGAAAAGGCTGCCCCTGCCAACGTGCATTAGTGCTTCTGCACCCTGGATCAGGCCGGTTCCCGTCCTCCAACCCTGAGCCCAGCCCCTCTCTCTTGGTTGCACCAGAAGATGTGGAGCAAATCGCTCCCCAGTCCAACCACCTTTCCTTCACCATGCCCCTGGTCTGGGTTCTGATGCATATTGCAGAACCAGCAGTTATTAATTCACCAAGCTTTTCTGATGCATATTTCAGAACCAGCAGTTATTAATTCACCAAACTTTTCTCCGCGGACCCCACACACTCCAGTGGAGAGGCGGGGCTCCCAAAAAAGGAACTGCAGGGTGAAGGCTGGACCGGAAGTGGGTGGGTGGGGAATGAGGTTCTCTGCACGTGCATAGAGGCCAGGAGTTCCAGCAGGATGAAAGGATGGAGGGGGAGGACTCTGGAAGGAGCCCTAGCCTGGGAAACCTGGATGCCCCCCAGGCAAGTCGTTGCAAGCTGGTGATTCTCCGTTTACACCTGTGAGAAGAGCGAGCTAGAACCTGGCTTTAGCTCTCAGTTTGCGCCGGCGCTGACAAGCTGTGAGTTTAGAAACGTGGGAGATATTAACTGCAATGCGATCTCCCTAGGGACTCAGCGCAAGCTTGGGGAGAGGCCCAGAGCCAGGCCGGGAGCAGGGCCAGCGCTGCTCAAACTTTTACACAGATGCATCCTTCTCAAAAGAACCCCCATGGGGTTCTGAAACAGGGAGGCCCCCTTCCTATACGAAGGACGTTTCTCTAAAGTCTGGAATTTCACTATTTTTTAAGCTACGAAGTTTGCATTCTACTCCACCATTTAACCTAGTTTCTTTGAACATAAAAATATTGTACCAAATTTTTGAGCAAAATGATGCTCCAGGAATTTACTCAGTGCCTATCCTGGGACTTTTTTAACACCATCCACAGCGTCAATTACCCGGTGTGAAAAGGCTTGTAAGTTAACAGGGGTTTTGGCTTCTGTTTGTTTTTTGTGGTATGTGGGCAGGATGGGGCAGGCCTGGAGGTCCTGCTTTGGATTCGTGAGTTGGAAGTCAAAGTTTCTAGAAAAAGCTGAAATTAACAAGGTCACTGCTCTCCACAGCACCCTCAGTTAGAATATTGCAAAACTGAGCACAGGATATGAATCTCAGTCCATAAACTAAGATGTGCAAGAATTGTCACGTATCCATTATTTTATGTAATGACCTATCTGTAGACCCCTAGTAGCTAGTCCCCTGGCAGAGCCGGGAAGCTGGCCTTCCTCCTTCCTGGAGTCCCTAACCACAGGGATTTACATGGTCCTAGGGTGTGGGATGAAGAGGGAAGCACGCATCCATTTGGTCCTCCATCCCCAGAAAATGTGGCTGAGTTGTGTCCACTATCTGGGTTTATATGGCTGCTTCAGCCAGTTAGCTCTCTACCACTGCTATGTCCCACAAGGTGATGAAATTTGGAAGTTTTTAGGTTTGTGAGTGAAGGAAGACGTGAGCAAAGAAAGAATTCTTGAGATGTTTTTGGTGCAAAAAGGTGATTGTATTATAGCACAGAGACAGAACCCATGGGTAGAAAGAGCTGTACTGGGATTGCGAGGAGATTATATGCTTTTTCATTAGTGGGGTTTAGGGATAGTATGTCTCCAAGGAATTTGGAAACAAGGCTTTCAGGACCTTGAGGGGCTAGCTGCCATTGAGATAAGGTTACTTTTAGTCTTTAATAAAACATAAACATTAAGGCAGTAAAGGCAGCCGTGAGATCCTTGAGGAAGGTCAGGCTCTGCACATCTCAGGTATCCATCAGTGGGCTATCAGCTGTAAGGAAATTTAATTTAAGCTATGTTTCTCTTGCCTTTGTTTCCCTCATCAAAGGGACACAGGAAATTTGGGTAGGGGTGGGGGTGGCTATCATCCCATATTGCAGATGATGATATAGAGGGTCTGAGGCGCACAGACCATGAGCCTGCTCGCTACGAAGGTGCACACACGACTTGTGTCTTCCCACAACATCAGCTTTATTCAATCATAAAGCAAAGTTAAATCACAATGAGAAAGCGGGTTCAGGATTCCAAACTCAGTGACAGTTCACCATGTGATTAAACTTGGCTTCTTACACAGCACACAAAGCAGGACAGAAGACAAACCGCCCAACAAACGAGGTAGCAGATGGGTGCAGGAAATGAATGAACCAAACGCGAAGTCAGTCTGTGGGCACGCAGTTGAGATAAAGCCTCTGTCTGGCCCAGGTCAGCTCTTGGCACTTACTGCTTCTGATGTCCAAGCAGGGAAGGATCTCGGTTCTGTTCGGAGATCCACTGGGCAGAACCTTCGGGGACAGTTGCCTTTTTTAAGTGGTCAGGTCTGAAGAATCTGACAGTTTGCTGTCCAAATCCTCCCCTTTTTCAAGGGATTTAGTCCGTCTCAAGCCCCGCAGACTTCGTCTGGTTCTGCTCATTATCATTTCTGGGGTGTCAGCGGACATTGGTCCCAGCTATATCTCCTGGCTGCACTACCTTAACTGCTTGCGTCATTGCTGAGCACAGGCTCCTGCTTGACATGAGAGACTCCATTTTGCTCTCTACAGACTTGCTGACCGCTGCCTCTATCTCTCTTCCTCCCAGCCCGAGGGAGTCTCTTTTTCATTCTAGAGAGAATCCACTTCTTTCTGTTTCTTCCTCCCACTCTGTGCACAAATACCTTAAGCCTGGGCCATGAATTTCAATGTTTCCTGGGCCATGAAGTTCAATGTTTCCTGGGCCACTCAGGAACAGAAATGTGGTGGTGAGATTATGCTGAATTAGAACGCACCCATTTGTGGGGGAGTTGCAGAAGCCCGCCACACATCTGTGCTTCCATCCCATGGAACAGAGTCATTGCCAGCAAGTGGCTGCCCCACCAGGCTCCACATCTCCCAGCGCCCCCGCATCTAGGCAGATCACATGACTGGATCCCGTCAGTGGAATGGCGCAGAGGATGTCCCTTTGAGACCAAAGTGGTTGAGACGCGGTGTACTTCTCCACTTCTTTTTCCCATTCTACAGGCTGAAGTCAAAGACTCCCAAGGCCCCCGGGGATGGTGGAGACACAGGAAGGAAGGATCTCGAGTCTCTGTATCATTGACTCTGGGCTTATTATTCACAGGTATGAAATCATCTTCTTTTGGGTTATGCCATGGAAATCTGATTTTGTTTCAGCAGCTCGTGGTACCCTAATGAATACACCATTCTCAGTGCAACAGCTGCAGTTGAGATCCAACTGCTGTTGCCAAATGGGCAAACAAGGTTCTTTGAGCTGTCTTCCCATTTATAAGGAAAAACCAGAAACCCAGATTGTTATGTAACCCAGAAGTTACCCAATTTTTAAATGTCTCCAAATTTAAGTTTCAGAAAACACTGTGCAGATCAATATTGTTGAGGGGCCAAGCCTAGTTTCCCTGCAGTCCTGATTCAGCTTGATGGCTATAGGCTTTCTCCTTCTAAGGACTGCTTTATCGTATTCTGCCATGTATTGCCCTCATTCAGCGAGGAACACACTGTTCCCTGCTTGAAGAAGGGAACAGAACAAGAAAAAACACTGGGGGAAATGTAATGGAATCTCAAAATATTATTCTGTCACTATAGAGGCCACTTTTGAGCAAACAGACTTGAGCAATGGAAAGGGCCCACAGTTATCCCCTGGCTGAAGACAGCCTGGCCCAGCAGGTGACCCACCATAGGCCCTAACTAACCAATGGGTTACTTATAACCAGTTACCAAAAAGGGAGTATCCAGACTCCTCACCTTCCCCCTTTAAAAGCAGTCCCCAGGGGCGTCTGGGTGGCTCAGTCCCTTAAGCATTTGCTTTTGGCTCAGGTCATGATCTCAGGGTCCTGGGATCGAGCCCCATGTTGGGCTCCCTGCTCAGCAGGGAGTCTGCTTCTCCCTCTCCTCCTTGCTCCTGCTCTCTCTCGCTATCTCTGTCTGTATATCTGTCTCTCTCTCTCTCTCTCTCTCTCTCTCCAGTAAATAAATAAAATCTTAAAAAAAAAATAAAAGCTGCCCCCACCCACTGCCTCACTGCTGTCCTGCCCGCCGCTCCTTTGTTCTTTTTTTTTTAATTTTTTAAATTTTTTAATTAGACACAGAGAGAGTACAAGCAGGGGGAGCAACAGAGGGAGAAGGAGAAGCAGGCTCCCCGCCGAGCAGGGAGCTCGATGTGAGGTTTGATCCCAGGACCCCAGGATCATGACCCGAGCCGAAGGCAGACGCTTAACCATCTGAGCCACCCAGGCGCCCTATCTCCTTTGTTCTGCCTCAGGTGAATTCTTTCACCTCCTGTGCTGTTGGCTTCCACTGGATCATTGCTCCGCATTTGGGGCTCCCATCTGATCGACAGACACCCCATTGAAACACCACAGTCACCCTTTGCCTATTTTGCAGTGTGGATGTACAAGGACAGCCCAGGGAACTCCTACATTCCAGGAGGGCCCCTGTCCCCTCTTAGTAGGCTGTCACTGAATAGGTAAAAAGAAGCTTCTTCATGAAAGGCGTTTTTTGTAAATGTTAATTTTCAGACGTGTTCTTTATTGAGCCCTTATTATACATCCGTGAAAATGCTGCTGTTTCCAGCCAGATCGGCCGTTCCATTTAGACGCGAGAGGAGAGAGGTAACTGAAGAGAAAAGAACCCTGTTTGGAATGAGGTGAGATTATTTCTCTTGCCCTTTTTGTAGCTGGAGCTGAAGACCCTTTTCCCATATCATTCGTTATTCC